CCACCACCACCACCGTCTCTCTCCACCACCACCACCGCCGCTCTCCACCACCACCACCGTCTCTCTCCACCACCACCACCGTCTCTCTCCACCACCACCACCGTCTCTCTCCACCACCACCACCGTCTCTCTCCACCACCACCACCGTCTCTCTCCAATCAAGTTTCCTTCTCCCACTCTCTCTCCAACTCTCTCTCAACCTCTCTCTCTCGGTCAAACACGGCCGACTACCCAGTGCCCCAAGTAACGTCCAGAACGTGCTTGCTGCACCCCGCGTAGTTTACCTTTCATTGCTGGTTCCTGCAGCCATGTCAGGCCTTCTTTTATGTGTCCAGAGCTACTGCTGTGGGCGCCCCGAACATTTACCCCCGATCATGTACACTATTACTAGTTTTGTATTTTTGCGGTTGTGATGCCTGGAGCCGCCTGGAAGAAGCGAACACTTTTGTATCTTCGTTAGCGCCGCCATTTCAATGTGTATTTATTCTACATCGTGTGCATTGTACCTTCGTTTCCGAAGACAGGAACAACAACGTGTTCACCCCCCCCCCACCCGCGGCCTCCCTCTCAGAATGGCATCCGAGGAATCCGCGAATTCTTCAGGGGGCGGAGCAACAGCGGCGGAGGCGATCCCTCCAGAAGACGGAGGAGCCGGGGAAGGGATCGGGGGCGCGAAGGAGGTGTTTGCAGAGACGGCGCAGTCGGAGAAGCTCAGGCTGACTGCCGAGAAGCTCAAGCTGCAGGTAGCGAAGTCTATTTTTTTTAGGTTGTGCCTTGGTTTTTGGGGGAGTCAGGTGCTCGTTAGGCGCGCCGATTAGCTAGGACGGGTCGTGACCACGCTCGAGAGGTGGGGAAGTCGATGCTTGGGAGTAAGACGGGTGTGTATGTGTGTGTGTGTGGAGGGTGTGTGGCCCGGGAGGCGTGTCTTATCTACGTGAATCGTGAGCACTTTTGTGCAGTGCTTTAGCAGTAAATGCGTACTGCGTAGGTAGTAACAAGTGAAGACGCCAGCGTTAGGGCATACAAGTTAACATGCGGGTTGGACAAGGGAGACCAGCCGGAGTCCTTGAGCAGCAGCATCCGGCACTCTTGCGTGAACGTCTCACGACCGCCTGCTGCTGGCAGCACTATGGGTGCGCTCGTGTGGAGTTGCCATGCCTAAAAAGTATTCAGTGCTATATGTACGTGGCATTCCCTGGAAGTAGTTCTGCCCCCTGTTGCAAACACTGCCCCCCCCTAGAGCCGAGGATTCAAGCACACTATTTATAACAACCCATCCTTTCGTCAATGACGTTGTAACCCTTGACAAGGGTGCATGCGTCACGTTTCCTCTGGCCGTAAAAGAACGGATTCATGCGCTTGTTACCACCGTCGTTGGCCTGGAAGCATTTGCTGCTACTGTCTTTTGCTTGACTACTGGTGTGAACCGAGGGCGATGTGTAGATTTTGCTGGATGGAGCTAATGGGTGCCGACAAAGGCTTGGCCAGCAGCGTGAAAAAACAAAACGCCTTTGTCCCGTCAGCCGCGAAACGATCGATCCACCGAAGGAATGGCAACCCCCTCTGTTGCGGTTGTGCCCCTCTGTTGATGCGGACACCCCCCTCGCAACTGCAGGCGAATCCAGCCGCCTTTAGCGCTGCCCGTCGTCACAAGGTACCCACGCTAATGTGCACTGCAGTGTTACGATCGTGCCGTTCGCAACCCAGCAAGAAAAGCTAAATTTGTGCTTCTTTTGTGTACTCTTTCGTTTCTGATTTGAAATTATACCAGGCGGAAAAGCTTCGGCTGGAGGTGGAAAAGGAGCAGCTGATGTTGCAGGCAGAGAAGCTGCAAGAGAAGGAGGTACGCATGGTGATGTTGTATTCGACGTACCCTTGTTGTTGGAATGTCATGCGCGCTACCATGCCAATTTTTTTCTTTGTCGGAAGTCCCGGTGTGACATGGGTTGTCGGGTTGTGTCGCTACCCTTGTAGCTCCATTGCTATTTTAGTGGCTTGCGCATTGCCACCACTGGTATGGCGTGCTTTGTGCGCTAACGTGCAGACTCTTCGAAGGTTACAGGTGTTGCAGGGCGCACTTGAGATGTTTACCCGGTGTCGGAGTCCTCGCCCCCCCCCCCCTCTGCCCAATGAAAATAACCCCAAGAGATTATCTCGCAAAACAACGCAACACCGGCACGGGCTGTTGGTAGCAATCGCAATAGGGACAACGACAGCGAGGGCAGCCACCAAAACCCACGAGCAAAGGCAGAGCGGTTGTTGCCGGATCGTGTTACGTGTTTTGAACTACGAAGTACTTCTTTACGTGTTCGGTTTTGTGCCGCGCGTTGGTGTCCCGGTTGGAACCTCCAGGCGTTGGAAAGGAAGCAAGACGCGCTGATCGGGAAGCTGCGCGAGCTGAACGGGCGGGACGAGGAGCTGACGGCGTTGGTGAAGAAGGAAATCAAGAAGGTGCGTCGAAAGCAGTCATCCAAATATTCGGCTTTTGCTCCGTACTCCGGAGTACGCATATTTCAACCTGATTAAGATCTTCAACGAAGGTCACAACGTGTTCAGTCTGTTGCTCCGTTGGCGTTTTTCTGTTGGATTTAAATGCGATAACCCAGACTAAACGAAGAGTATTAGTAGGCAGCAATCGCCTTGGAGAAACCGCCGACTTACCAAGCGTTCGGTAAGCACCGCTTGCGGGGCGTTGGGAAGGCCTTGGGGGTAAATGCGTCGGACACGACAAGCGGACGCAAAAGGAACCACATTATTCATGTGTCAGCTTTTGCCAACACATTGGTCATGTATCCCCTACCCCCCTCTACGATCTACTTATTTTTTTTCTGTTTCTTGTTCTCAGAAACCTCGACGCGTTTTAACCCTAACCCATTGATGCGAGGGTTGTTGGTCGGTGGACCATGGGGTCATGCATGGAAACGAGTCGACCGGCTTTGTAGGGATGCGAGGAGGTCAATAGTCAAACGACTGCGTCATGCGTGACTATGAGTACCCCCCTCCCCCCCACCCCTCCATCCCGCCAGGTGAACGCCGACTTGTTCATGCGGTTGGCGGACGTGGCGGAGACGACGCTGGATGTGGAGGAAAGGTCGGTACATGAATATTCAATACTTCTGTGGCCGACCTTGTTTTTTTGTACGGCAACGCGTTTCGGAATCTTCGTCCTCGGTGGTGCTCTGTTCTTGGTGTGGTTGACCGTTGCTCATGGGCCTTACTTTGGGTTGGCTTGTGGCCTTTGAAGGCAGCTCTGTCTTGCTTGGAGGGCACGGGAAATGGCAAGAGCTGGATGGCGGTCAGGGTACTTTCTTTCTTCCCCGCGAACACAAACCAAGAGTGGTGCCAGCGCGCGTGAATCAAGACATGACATGAACACGCGACAGTGAGAGGGTTACTTTAATCGCGAGGACAGCGAAGAAGTTCGTACAACAGAGTATCAGCGCGCGTGAAAAAAGGAAAACTCCAAGTGGCGCCTTTGGAATTGCGGGCGAATGCAGATGTGCGATCGAATTTGACTATAATAATAATATGCTCGGTTGCTCCGCAACCAAGAACTTGCCGATGCTGAAACGGTTGGAATTTCTTGGAAATGTATCGTCAAGAGCTGGCCTTTCCTTTCGGCTGTCGGCCGAACTTCGCACCCTCTTAGTTTGCGTAGCATATGGAGCTTTACAAATCAGTATGTATCTCACTACTGCGCATTCGCCCGTACATTAACGGTAGCTCGGACAAACATACACAGCAGTGTCAATAACTCGCAGTCATACGTTTTCCACTTTTTTGATTGCCTCGGTGGATATATATATATATATATAGAGAGAGAGTTCCGTTACCCCCCCTCCGTAGCTGTTGCGGGGCACTGTAAGTGGACTGAGCAGGCGGGAGGTGATACCGATAGGATAAGACAGGATCGGAGAAACATTTTTGACCCACCTTTGGCAAAGTAGGAAGGAACGGTTGACAATGAGTTCACGGCCTTGTCGGAACAGTGCTCCATCCTCTCCAGGACGCGTGGTCAATGGTCTACCCGCTTAGGAATGCCAAACGTAAGTACGCCCGCCCTCCTCAGGAGGTCTGGGGCCGAGCATCACACCTTCCTCCAATACCTGCAGGAAAAGTGAGCATAAAACTAACACGGCACCAACACGAGCCAATAGAAGTACCGGCGATGGCAATAACAGCAGCAGCAGCAGCAGCAGCAGCAACAGCTCCCGTCCCGTGACCGATCGTGTGGTGTTCTTTGTCCCACAGGAACAGTCTAGTGTCGCTAAGCGAGGATGTCATGCGGGCGCTGGACAGGGTGGATAAGACGAAGGCGCTCAAGGTTTCCAAGGGAATCAAGTGAGCAAGAGTGTTGTGTAGATGTTGGAATACAACACCTAGGGGCCAGCAGGCCGGCGCGCGGGGGGGGTAGGTACGCGATCTTTTGTTGGGAGAGGCACTCAAGATGTCCAAGGGAACCAAGTGAGCAAGCGCGTTATGTACATGTTGGGTTGGGATTGAAATCCAAGGGGCAAGCAGACACGCGAGAGGAGAATGGACGACGGCGTTTTGTTTTAGCGCTCTGCAACTCTTGTATGTATGCGGTGCCATCATCTCGTTGGTGCTTGCGCTCCCCCGCCTTTTTTTTTTCGGCTGTCGTTATGCTGCCGCGACTTGTTTGTCTCCGCTCTTTTTTTTTTTCCAGGGAAATCTTGGACAGGGCGGAGGAGATCGAGAAGGCCACAAGGGCACGGGCTGCGGCACAAGCATTAGTTCAGGTGTTGTTTTTTTGTTGTTTCTGTTTTTTTGTTTTTCTCCCATCATTGGACTCTGTCGTCTGCCCCTCTAGCCCCTGTGCTCCACTTCTACCAGCTAGACGACCCAACCGGGGTCACATAGGAAGGGGGGGCTGGACCCCCTCCTGCGGTTGGTGCTTGTCTGTCTCAGCGTGTTTTTTGCTTTTTTTGTCCCCTCCCCCCGCCAGGCGTTTTTTGTTCCCCCCCGGTGTTTGCCATCGGGATTGGGTTTTCGTCGCTTGGCAACGACGTTGTAAAACAAGCCAACTCACTCCGTGAACTCCNCCCTCTGGCCCCTATCCTCCACTTCTACTAGCTAGACGACCCAACCGGGGTCACATAGGAAGGGGGGGCTGGACCCCCTCCTGCGGTTGGTGCTTGTCTGTCTCAGCGTGTTTTTTGCTTTTTTTGTCCCCTCCCCCCGCCAGGCGTTTTTTGTTCCCCCCCGGTGTTTGCCATCGGGATTGGGTTTTCGTCGCTTGGCAACGACGTTGTAAAACAAGCCAACTCACTCCGTGAACTCCGCAACCAGGTTACCGTTTTTTTTTTTTTACCTCCGTTTTCTTTTTGGCGGTAACCATAA